ATTGTTCGACCAATGAAAATGTAGATGTCTGGATGCTTACCTCTGTCACCTATCGAATGATGAAAACCGCAGGTCACTAGCTTGTTCCTATCGAAAGTTATTCAAAAAACATCCGAGTGCATTGCTTTCTGGTGCCGATAATAATTCATTGTATTCTTTTTATAGGAAAAACTGTCTAATTTAAGATGCTTTTCGCTACAATATAATTACATTACAGATACTTATGATGAATTAATTGTACCACTTCTACAACGAATGTCGAATTTAGAAAAACTTCATTTGAATGTTTATGTTTCTATGAAAGAAACATTTATTGATGGAAATAATTTAAAGAAAAATATTATCAATCATATGCCACGATTAAACAAATTTACATTTAATATTCGTTCATACCTTGATAATCGTAATCAAAATGATCTACCAACAACTGAAGATATTAAACATACATTTAGTGATTTTAAAAACAATCAGATTATTTCTTATGTCGATTATTTTCAAAGTAGACGTTCTGGTTGGTGTTCTATTTATACATATCCATATATATTGAAATCTTACGGTTATGTAACAAATAATTTTCCAGGTGTACTATGTAAATCTGTTCGTGAAATAGAGTTATATGATGAACATCCTTTCGAATATAAATTTTTTCTTCGAACTTCTCAATCATTTCCATTTGTGGAAGAATTGTCTTTAAGCAATTCCAAACCACAAAAAAATAAATTATGTAGAGAATCAAACAAAGACAATCAACATTTATCCATTATTAAATTTCATCATCTTACTAATCTTACACTCTATGGAGCTCATGATGATTATATCGAACAATTTTTAGATGATACGAAAACATCTTTATCAAATAATGTTCATCTTAATGTCGAATTTGAACCACTGAAAAGAGTGACATACCATTTTACAAGAAATGCAACACGAATTAATTGTCAAAAACTGAAATCTTTATGGTTAAATGGCTATGGCCTTCCTAAATATGCTAAAAACAACTTTCCTCATACAAAAATATCCTGATTGTTATTATCGATTATTGAAATAAAATTGATTTATATAGAATGAGAATATTAAAATACAGGAAAAACTTGTTTTATATTTCATTGAAAAGAACCAAATGTTTTTACATATGGGAATAATCCAAGAGGAGAAACAATGTACTCCCGTACTTCATGTATTTCAGAATAAGCAGTTTTGATTTTTCATTTTCATTTAACAGAACAGCGATTACCACAAAGTTAAGAAAAAGACAATAGCACAAGTCTCAGAAATCAATGTGCAACAACGTGAAAGTATCTATTGATACAATTCATCATCTTTAGTTTCAAGTATTTTAGTCAATAATAGAAAATTCAGTGATATAATAGTTACTTTATTTAAGAAAATCTATTATAATCGAGGATACTACATTGGAAAAATAAATTCTAATTGCATAGAAAATCAATAAGTAGTGTTTATTCTACACCTGAATTTCTGTCTGAACTATTAGTTGACAAATAACTATATCATTAAAAGTGATTCTCGACAGAAAATAGTACAATTATAAGCACTTCTCTATATAATACATATGAACTGGACATCTCATTAGCGCTTTGATCGGATTGGTGAATTCGGGTAGAATAAAGATGCAATGGTGTTTGTAGACTATAAAAGCAACGAATGATATAAAAAGGTCGAAAAAAAAATTGTCGAAAGTCTTACTATACGATAGTTTAGATTATTCAGATGGAAAATAGAAAATTTTTTAAAAATCATATCGTTTACCCAGAGGTGGTCCGATCGATGGGATGTTGGGAGTGTAACACACTATTCCCTAGAATTTTCGGTTTTTCCAAGCAAAAACCAAAAATATACTTGCGTTCTGTTAGCAAAAATGATGGTATACCCCCGAAAAATTCTCAACACTTGACCTCCATTCCCGAAAAATTCGCTACAGGGTGTGGGGTGTGGGTGCGAATGTGGATATGGCCACAAGGCTAAAACCTAAAACCTAAACCCACACCCACAGCCACAGCCACACATCGACACCTACACCCCACACACACACCCACCCACACCCACACTCGGGTATACCCTTAATTTAATTTTCAAATCATTATCCAACTTGGTTCTTGCAATACACAAACATTTAAATACTTATGTTCTTTCTTTCTTCTACTCATTTAATAAGATTCTCGTCAAGTTTTCTCGCTCATAAATACGTTGTAATTGTCAATGCCATTCTATAAACGGTGGTAATCGTTTGTTTGTTAATCCAACATTGGATAACGAGTGGCATTCTCCTGATTTGAATAAGATCGAAAATCTCATTCGTCCTATTTTTTTTTCGGCTATAATCGTTAGTTTTACCAGCTACTTCACCTGAACTAACACAACTCATATTTCCAGTAGTGTAGAAATCGAAAACTCGGTTCAAGTTAACGAGTTTTGCAACCGAATTAACGAGTTAACGAATTTACGAACTTATGAGTTTACCGAACTTATCATGTCCAGCAATGCCCTCTGATCAGCGCTTCGTGGCACCCTCATACCGAGTGAGATGCAGTGGTGAAATGTTTGAATAACTTATCCGATTATCTGAAAATGGGACATAAGTTATTCAGTTTCGCAAATTGGGTTTCAAAACTAGTTAACTCGTTAACTCGAACCGAGTTTTCGAGTTTTTGCATATATGTCATCTTCGTAAATACAAACTAATCATTCTTCCATTATTGATGACTATTCAACAGCAAAGCTTTCGTAAATTAACTATACGAGAACAAAATGGTTATGAATTAGAAACGATTTTATTAATTTGTTCTTCTTTGGTCTATCTTGATTTCTTATGTACTAATGTTATTCCTCCATATATTTTCATAAATCATTGCTTTCCATCTATGAAATGTCTTCGACTTGGTCGTCTGGAAAATTTCTTTTTTCACAATGGCCAATTCGATTTTCTTCTCTCACTCTTTCCAAATCTTCTACAATTCCATTTAACTGCTGATCAATGTCGTGAACATGTTGAAACGATCAAATTTAGCGAAATTGCGCATTATCTACGCCATCGATGTCCATTATTGAAAATATTAGTTTTACGTATTTATATGCAAGGACATTTTTGCGTTATTCTTCTTCTATAGGTAGTTGTAAGGAAATTACCGAGATGCATTCTCTTTTCAAGTATGTCTGTAAATGTGATTCTCGTCTAATAATTACTTCGCATAGTTTTATTCAGTATCATGTTTATACGCGTCGATATGCTCGTCCTTCGTCTAGATAATCATATGCAAATGGTAGATCTATATTTAGCTTATGCATTTTTGACTATTTGATTTACATGTCATTCGTATGTATTCTTTTCTGATTCTATTAAAATAAAATTGGAAAATGAAAGAAAAACTTTAATGACATAAAAGAACCTTGTTTAGTGATAGCGCATCTATCATGTTATAACCTGTCGATTGCTAAATTAACTACCTCATTCAACTTTTCAGCTTAAATCTTGAGAATATGGGAATGGAGATCAGTATGCATGCGAATGTGGATGTATCAGACGAATATAATATCTTCACTCACCCCCATCCACTTTCCAAAATGGTTAAAAGATTTTGCAGTAATATTCTGCCCATAAGTAGGACCTGATGAGATTAGAGAAAGCTCGAAAGGCTAATGGCCCAGAGACTGCCAAAATTAAGAAGACAAAAGCATCAAAACTCAAATTCTACTTTTTTTGCAAATTTTCATACAAAAGTCGTAATAGTAGCCCCCTCCTCCCTAAATAGGAAGCTCCTGTAAAAAATTTGAACATTTGGATAGTTTAGAAGCTGAGGGCTTCTATTACGGGGGAGTTGATTTGGACCGGCGAAAATAGATTTTATCTGAAAAACGAATGTGTTTTGGAAATTCTCTACAGCGATGTAGAATAGTTTATGCATTCATAGCGTAAATGTAGACGAACAGGTTGGTATGCTTTTAGATAAATTTGAGCGTGTAGAAGATCGTAAAATTTTCTTACACTCATAACAACACTACAATGAAAAATTTCTAACCTTGAAAAAGACATTCTATTTTCCAATGTGTCAAGTTCAAATGGAACAAATTTTTCATTCATCAATAGTTGAAATTGCTTAGATTTATAATAGGAATTATTTGCGCTTTAGATTGCCTCTTCTTAATGAGGAAAACAGAATTCCTATATATTTTCCGTGATTTCGACCACTTCTAACAAACCTTTTTATACCATTGGATGGAGCATTCATCGAATAAAACGTTGATGTATTTTAACTTGAAAAAGTGTACTTTCAATTTTGCACTGAATGTCATGTTCATTGTTCACTATGTGTGGATCCTTAATCTCACACTAATCATATCTAATAAGTATTTTTCCTTCTAAAATGATTAGAAATTTCAATCGTCAGTAAAAAAGCTTGTCAGCGCAGCCCCTTTGGGGCTAAAATGTGGAACTCACATATCTTCTTCAGCTTAATTATGCTAATATAAAGTACATAAAGTGAATAATATCTAATAGACGATAGTTGCTTGCAGAACAATCGATCATCAGAGATGTGATCTCTCTTATTTATATTCGAATTTCGAACAGAAATTTTATCTTTAATTGTTTTCCGGAGCGCTCTATTTTTTATTTGCTTGTTGCTATTCGCTCGTTATTTATTTTCTTATTTTTATTTTCTAATCAGTGATCTAACCTTCTAAAGCTATTTTTATTAAATTTAGAAAGCTAAATTAATCTGTTCATATCTTTACAACAACTTCTTATTCTTGTCATTATTTGATCGATGCACTTGTCGTTTTTTTCGTTTTTGTTCTCGTACTTTACGCATATATTCGTTTGTATTTCCTAGTCGTTTTCGTTCCCGACATCGACGTACACGTTCTCTATTTAGTTTTCCAAGATGCTGTTGATGCATCCACAAAACTTTCGTAATCATATCAGTTAATGATGAACTAATAATAAGTTTTGTTTCTTCTTTTTCATTATTACAACTAATATTTACACTATTCATTATAATTAATTATCACAAAATACAACTAATATAAATAATCTAATAAATTTATAATGAAGAATTGCACCCAGCCAAACAAACATAGCAACGAGTTATTATGTCGCATCTACCTGTAATGGAGAGTAGTCTGTAATGGGGGGGTGTCTGTAATGGGAGGGGAGTGGGGAAGCCGGAAAACTTCGCCTTAAAACTTACACTCTCTATTTTACTTCGTAATATATGTGAGTTCCACAAAATATTCAAGAGCCAGTTTTAAAGTTTCAAGTTTTGGAAAAGATTTTAAAAATTGTTCATTATAAGGAAGTCAAACAAATCATTCATTCAGTCAATAGTCGATGAGTTTGTTTTAACATTTGACAACATTGAAAGTCTTGAAGATCGAGATATTGCATCGATAACATTATCATTTTATGGATCAGAAGATTTTCGAAAAATAGATGAAGATGAAGACAAAATTAAATTACTTATTAAATTAAAACCATTAATTTGTATTTACGATGATCTTCAAATTAAACTGAATGAATCTATAGAAAGTCTAAAAAAATACATATAATTATTTTGTTAATTCTTATTATGGAAGAGTATTATTTAACGAAAAATTAAATACTCAAAAATTAGAAAATGACAATGGTAAAAAGAAAATTGAAAATGATGAAAAGTACACTGATCTTCAAGCTCTATTCGTACTCTTCGCACAGTTGAATGACACCAAATTTTTAATTAACAAAACAGAAAGCATGGACCAGTTATAAATTAATTTTTACAAAGATACTGATAATCAGTCAAATATTGAAAAGATATTAGAAATTGGTTTAAATACTGAATTATGTTTGACACCACTAGCAGCAATTATTATCGATGAATTGGTACGGAAAGAAAACCAAGATACGATTTCAATTCTTTTTCTATACATAATAAAACCATCAAATAAAGTATTACCAATTGTTCTGAGATGGTTTACTGATTATGATAATAATCAAATTAAAAAATTAGCAGATCTTTTACTTGTAAAAGAACCAGCAATTGATACAATTATTGATTACTTAGAAAGTGATAATGATCAAATGAGATATAGAGCTCAACAAATTTTTCAACATCCGGAACAAAATTCGAAAGAGCCCAGTAAGAGAATATCTGTCATAGGAGAAAAAACATTGATGAAAATTTTACAAAGTATGTTGACTTATATGAATAGTTTCTTCTTCGAATTACCCTGGAATGATCCTGAAGTATTTCAGAACTTACATGAACCTATAACAAAGCTGAAAGAGAGTAACTCCGCTGGTGAACAAAAAATATTTTATTTTAATAAGATTAAGTTTATAAATAATAATACTTGCAATTCAATAATGCAATCATTAGAATCACCATCATATTCATCGTATGTGGAAGAACTATTCCATTCAATAATGATATTAACACAGCATAATCAAATTACGAAAACACAATTAGATCGAATTTGTAAGAATACTATCAGTTACTGACACAAGCCAGTTTAAAGAAAAATTATATTTTACACGTGCGAGTGTAGATATAATAAATTTTATTCTTGATAAATTTTGTGCATTAACAAACATTAATGATGAAACATATTTTGAAATTCTTGAATCAAAAGTAATTAGTAAAATAAGTGTCAAAGTCGAAGATCTTTTGCAAAATAGTTATAACTAAATAAAAAATATAGGTCGTTATAACTTTTATGTTTCAACAGATTTAAATCAAATAATATTAAATATGTTAAATAATATTTCAATAAACATTGTTATTATGAAAAATTTAATTAAATGCTTAATACAGCAAATGACAAATTTAAAAGGTGTTGATGGTACAGTTTTTTCATTGATGATGTGTGCTGGTTTATTATCTTTGGTTTCTGCATGTGTTCAAAAGGAAGATTATTTATATCGAAAAATAACAAATTCTCCTAATTTTAATAAAGTTCAAATGATTAAACTTTTGGAAAAAATGCTTGATAATCATCCATACTTTCCAGAAAGAGGCAATGCTTTTATATTACTTTCAGCAATGGATCAGTCAGATCATAAAGTAATCATAAATGCCATAAATACATTACTTGATGAAAATCTTGTGAAAGAATATTCTGTAATTGAAATTCCTCTTATAAATTTATCACCCAATGAATTAATTGACGATTTATTAAAATCTCTAAAAAATGACAGCGCTATAAAGGCTGACGAAATATTAAAAATTTTGACACAATTTGCTCTGAATGAAAAAATCAATGCAGACCGTAAATCAAAGATAATCAATTATCCAGCAGAAGAAATTGAACAATTAAAATCAAAAAAACCTGTTAATTATTATTATACAAACATCAAAATTCCTTTCACAACGTCATTGGAAAATGAATTTATATACAGCGTGGATTAAAATACAGGGACTCTCTGGTAAAACACAATATTCTATTAACGTTCAAGAATTAAAGGAATGATATGATCCAACTTCAAATGATGATCGATCGTCAGAAATTGACACTTTTAGTTATTTTTTATTATATTATTAGTTAACCTTGAAAATTATATCGTAAATTTTAATATAACATAAATGTATTCATCCTATTTATCAGTTTCTTCCACATACGTAAACTAGAGGGTGAGGGTGATAGAAAGCGCTCACTCACCCATGTACTCTACACTGATGTCATGATCTCTAGGTCTTTTCTCGTTGATTTCCCTCTTACAAGTCTTCGCGTCGTCACCATCGAACACAAATTACTTGTGACTGATCATGAATCATCCTTGAGAAATGAGTCACTCTGATTTTCATTCTGCATGTGGCTGTGAGAAAAGCGTTGCTCTGGCTGGTCCATGTTGTCATCAGCCTGCTCAATTTCGTCTTTGCAACATGTATTCGATTATAGTTGATCGTTCACCTCTATAGCAAAATCCACATACTCTGTCACAGTCAGCTAGCTAAAGATCTTACGATTATAGATACAAAGCGATACCAGCAAGTTGAGCATGACAACAATGTCAGATAGAATCAGTGCTGTTTCGAATTACACAAGAAACGAATGGAAAAGTATTTACCATTTATCATCGTCTCCTTTTCTTTTTTCAAAAATAGAGTCAGTCTAGTCGAGAAGGAATCTTTATGGATATAATCTTTCGAAATAAAAATCCTTCATTAATAGTTTTATCACTATAAGCTTTTATGTGCCAGTTAAAATCGGAAATCTCTCTTCTTGATCTGAAGTCCTATTTCTGATCCTGTTGGGTCTTTCAAAACAAAGCGATCACCATATCATTGAAGTACTAATAGAGTATCCGACTCAGATAAGTCTTGATGAAATAGTGTCTGGAAACGGTCGACAAGCAAGACTGCTTACGTTTTCAAAGTCTTGAGAAATAATAATCACTAGGAATGCTCATTTTATTTGAAATTCATCAAAAATAATCACCTGACCAAAAGACAGCATGGCCGTTAGAATAGGCAGTCTTGATCTTCTCATAGACATCGGTTGGTAATCGAATATTACGCATCATTAAATCTAGATTGATGCCAATTTGAACAGAACCAGCCCATTCAGTCAATTCATCAATCGACATGTATTGCGGCAATGCAAACAAATGAATAGGTTTTGTTGACCCATGACGTTGTCGAATCTCTGCTGCTGCTAGAGACAAAAGTTTCTGTTCAAGCTTCATATTTGGTGCTCGCCACTCCAGTACACATACATCCTTTTCACTATCGGGTTTGCCGATCACGACATAACCTTGTTCTTGCTCATGTTCATACAGGCAGACAATAGCTGCATTGTTTTGCCACCTCCCTTTCACCCAATGTTGGAACACTGAAGGTGGAGATCGATCTATCTGATAGATACGCGGACTATTAGAATGAATTTTGAGCATGAGTTCAATATCTTGGCATAAAACATCCGATGCTGAACGCCATTCAACATTTGTGCTGGACGAAGTGATAGTTTTCCAATCGATCATAACTTGAGTGGGTTCAGGTACTTGTTCCCACCCGAAAGACGCGTAATGACTTGGTTTTCCCGTACTTAACATTGAAATATCAAATTCATTACTTTCCTCCATTTTATCAACAGCCATTTGTAATAGATGTCGGGACAGACCTTGTCTTCGATATTCGGCTACGGTAGCCACATTGCCAATACCAGCACATAAATATTCCTCATTGTTCTCACTTGATCGTAATGTAAAACGCCGAATATGCACTGTGCTCACCAATTTATCATTGTGCCATGCACCCAATGTGTCACCTTCTTGATAACGTGGTGATGTATCAGGTAAAAAATAACGTTCTTCCACATCAGAATTGGTTTTGAAGGTAGGACACCATAGATCGAATGCCTTTTGTTGCTCATGCTTTTCTACAGGACGATAGACAATCGACGAGATATCAAAAGTTAACATTGAGTTCATCGTATTAGTCGTACACTATTTAGTTGTCAAAGCTCACACCGACGGAAAACCTATAAAAATGAAAGATGGAGTGGAAGAAATGAGATGATACATATGTAGAGAGATGTGTGTACACCAGGACTAATGCCGTTATCATAAAGAATGTGTCTGTGATGTATTGACATTCTACATTGGGATTTTCTCGGCGTCGTTATTTTTCTCTTCTCGTTAAGATATTTCCCTTCGTTCTGTGTAATGTCCTCTATGTCACTTTTACATATCGTATATATGTATGCAGGGCTGGCCCGAGCGGAGGATCGAGGGTCACCCCCCCCCTCCCACAATCTTGGAAAATTTTCGTTTTTCTCCAGGGGAACTGAACGATTTTTTCGTTTTTTTGCTCACCAATCTCCGCAAAAGCAGTCGACCCCCCAAAAAAATTCGTCAACTCTTCCTCCGAAGTGGTCGATCTTCTCTAAAAAATTCGTCAACCCTATCTCCTGAAAGGGCGCCCCCCCCCCCCCTCCCCCATCCCCAATCCTGGTGACCTCGGGCCAGCTCTGTATATATGTCTGTTCTTTGATGTGTTTATTTTTGCTAGTTTCTTTCATCTTCTACTCGTCCTTTGTATCTGTTCTCTCAAGACAATAAACTGTATATTGACCTTGACTGATTTTCTTGTGATACGTAACGGCAATACGTGACAGTGTCATTCATACCTTATCTGTCCAATCTTCTAAATACGATGAAATTCAACAGTACATTATCATGATATGCACTATGAATTACTGACAACATTCAGAAGCTAGCTACTCAGACAAACAATCAAACGGGCAAAACAGTGTTTAAACATCTTCACTCTAAACTGTTGAAAACATTTGATATGTCCCCAAAAACGCGTTAATCAGTTTAAAAATAATTGCCTTTTAANTCTTCAAAATAAAATGTATACTTATTTTGTTAAGTCTTATTATGGAAGAATATTATTTCATGAAAAATTACCTGTTAATGCTTCTAAATTAAATTTAGATATCAGTCCAAACTTACAAACCAAGAATGATAATATTCAAAATTATTCTGAACTTGAATCTTTATTCTTACTGTTTGCACAATTGAATGATAGCAAACTATTATTAAATAAAACAGAAAACATAGATCAATTATGGATTAATCTTTAAAAAGACATCGATAACCAATCGAATATTGAAAAGATATTAGACATTGGTTTACGTAATGAGATATTTTTGACACCACAAATAGCAATTATTATAGATGAATTGGTACGAAAAGATAAAGTAGATATGATTTCAATTCTTTTTCCATATATTATAAAACCAGCAAATGAAGTATTACCAGTTGTTCAAAGATGGTTTACTGATTATAATAACAACAATCCAATCAAACGATTGGCAGCACTCTTACTTGCAGAAGTAAAGCATATTTTTGAGCCAGCAGTTGATACAGTTATAGATTTATTAAAAAGTGATAATGATCAAATAAGATATAGAGCTCAACGAATTTTTCAACATCCAGAAAGAGATGTCAGTGAACCTAGTAAGAGAATATCTGTCATTGGTGAAAAAACCTTAAGAAAAATTCTTCACGATGCATGGATTAAAGAGTCTCTTCCAAGTGTTCGTACCTATCTTGGTACTTTTTTCTTTGACGTACTATGGGATGATCCCACAGTTTTTCGAAACTTATATGAAAGTGTTGAGCAATCAAGACAGATAAACTCTGTTGGTAGAAGAAGATTTTTTTGTGATAAGATCCAATTTATAAACGATCATACTTGGCACTCTATAATGCGATCATTAGAGTTATCATCACATCCGCGGTATGTAGAAGAACTACTTCATTCAACGATGCGTTTAACCACACGTTCTCAAATTAAACAAAATGATTGGATGGACTTCGCAAGAGTTTTATCAGTTACAGATACGAATCAATTTGAGGAAAAGTTATATTTTTTACGTACAGATGTGGAAAATATACAATTTATTCTTGATGAAATTTGTACTTCAATACATGTTATTGATGAAACATATTTTGAAAATCTTGAATCAAAATTAATCAGTCAAACAACCATCAAAGTTGAAGAACTTTCACGATGTACTTATGACGAAATCAAGCATATAGGTCGTTGTAATTTTACTGTTTCAATTGATTTGAATAAAACAATACTAAATATGTTAAATAATACTTCAATAAATATTGTTGTAATGGAAAATTTAATTAAATGGTTATTACAAAAAATGGCTAGTTTTAATGGTATTAATGATACTTCGTTCTCATTGATCTTATGTGAAAATCTATTGTCATTGGTGTCTGCTTGTGCTCAAAAAGAAGACTATTTGTATCGAAAAACAACGAACTCTCAAAACTTCAATAAGACTCAAATGATTAAACTTTTAGAAAAAATGCTTAATAATCATCCGTTTTTTCCAGCAAGAGGCAACGCTTTTATATTACTTTCAGTACTGGACCAATCTGATAATAAAGTAATTGTAAATGCCATGAACACATTATTTGATGAAAATCTTGTGAAACAATATTCTGTGATTGGAATTCCTCTAATACATTTATCAGCAGATGAATATATTAATGATTTATTGGAATCATTAAAAAACGAAAGTGCCATAAAAGCTTATGAAATACTCAAAATTTTAACAGAATTTACTTTACATGAAAACGTAAATACAAGCAATAAATCAAAAATTATAAATTATTTAGCAAAAGAAATAGGACAATTAAAATCGAAAAAGCCTATTAATTATTACTATACAGATATTAAAATTCCTTTTACAACAACTTTGGAAAATGAATTATATAAAGCATGGATTAAAATACAAGGCCTCTCTGGCAAAACACAATATTCTATTAAGATTGAAGAATGAAACTCTATTATTAATGAAAAACGCTTTTCATCTTTGAGATATGTTACAATTCCTGTACCGTTTATTGAAGAAGTTTTTCTAAATCTTTGCGTTATTTCTAAAATTCTTTTGAAAATTTACTCAAACAGAAAAGATCTATTTTCTTCATCACTTATGTGAAGAAATAGAAAACGATCGAACTAAAAAAAAAAGATCATATTTTTATATGGATTTTGCTAACTTAAAGATCATTTATTTTATTAAATAACCATTCCATTCTAAATAGATATTCTCAGCTAGATGTTTAATTTTATAAGTCAATAGAAGTTTTTCAATATGAATCATTTTATTTAATTTTTCAATTATTTCATTATCTGGTGTAACAATACGAAAACACAATAATTGAAGATAATCATTGCAATCATGATTAATTTTGTTGATTATAAATCTTAAAACAGATTCAATATCCATATGATTAATATCATTGACTTTGAAATATGTCATATAAGGACAGATTATCAAAAGAATATAAAATTCTTCAATATCATTCATCTTTTCAAGATGGGTGGGTCGGTGTGGGAGAGTGTGGGTATGCGCGAGTGTGGGTAGGATGAATGTGGGTGTCGGTGTTGGTTAGTGGAGAGAAAACTGACACTTACACCCTAACCCACATCCACATCGACACCCTCGCCTACACTTATACACCCTCACCCCACACACACGTCTCCGACTCCGAGAATTTTTAGTTTCTGGCTCCGATTCCAACTCCCAAAATTTTCCGAAATCCTCCGAAGTTTTTTTATCGAAAACGAGCGATCTGCAATGTACTTTGTTGTTTAATTTTGAACATGCAGAAATCGATCAACAAACAAAGGAATGAATGAAAATCGTAGAATCATTAACAGATTAATTTTGAAACCCTTTTTCATTTGTTGCGCAGTGAAAATAAAAAAATAATGATTAGGCAGTATTCCACATGTATTGTGCCGAAGCAATAGAGGATTGATAATGAAGAGAATTATAGTACTTCGGATGACATTGAAATATTTTTTGATTAATGTCATTATGCTTTTATGTAGTCGATTTCTCGAATACTATAACTGAAAGGTCATCCATTTGTTCTTTTTTGTCTTGAAACTCATTCCTAATGCATATATCAAGTGTTCTCTTTTGTTTTTTTGTTTGTTAATATGAAGAAGAAAATTATGGTTATATAAAATAGCAAAAGCTCATATGCAATGATTTTAATTTTGACTCCAATTTGAGTTCAAAAAAATTCCTTTTGCTGACTTCGACTCCGACGGAGTCGGAGTGATAATCGGGTTTCGGAGTTCCCCGTAGGTCTCTAGCCCACACCTACATCCATCTTTCATGAGACACGATCATTGATTCATATGAAATCAATCAATTTGTTTAGCATTCGAGAATGTTTTGTTGAAGTAGTATAAATTGGAGGTACCTCTGTGATATAAATAATATAAGGCAGCTCGATAAGATCATATTAAAGTAGAGACGATAGCAACAATTGTTCTTACTAACCACCTTTATACGTTATTATCACTTGTTTTTCTTTTGGAATTTTTCTTCGGATTATTATGGCATCTAGTAGTACCAGTGATTCCGATTGTACTGAAACTTTTTCGAACTCTGCCCAAACGGCCATGCGATGGGCATTTTGACCACTCGATTTGAGGTTGTCGCAGCCATCGAAATTTAAAACGTAGCCCTCGGATTCTCATTTTCCGATGGGTCGAGGGATTGGCGATGGGTCAGTAAAACATGGATCATTCGATGAGTCGAATAATTTTATTCGATGGGATCAAAATCAAAAAGGATTTTTTCATATAGATGGCTCCTTTTCGAGTTGTCAAAACCTATCGAATAAATGCAAATGAGAAGATTAAAACATGGGTACTTACGTTACATAGTCGTTGAACATCTAAACTAAATATGAATTATGCTTACTCCATCTCCATGAAATTTATCTTATCAATTCTTAAAAGTATAGTACTAGGCAGAGATGTTGGCGGGTTGACCCGTTTTCGTTCAACCCGCCCGACCCGTGGACCCGCCCGCGGGTTACGGGCCGGGTCAGACCTCTGACGGGTTACGGGTTTACGGGTAGTTGTTTTCTCGTTTTACGGGTTTCACGAACCGGGTTATATTTTTCCGAGAACCCGCGGGTTCAACCCGGTTCAACCCGTTTACA